CATCATGGCGGTACCTCTGTTGAATGCGCCGCCGTGGATGTACACGGCAACGGGCAGCAGTGTCTCATTTCGAGACGACGAGACGGGCCGGAAGACGTTGGCGGTTAAGCAGTCCTCGCTGTACTCAAACGCTGGACCGTCTGGGAAGAGTTGCTTGCCCGGTGCGACGGGACCCCATTTCGAGGCGTCGATTTCCTTTGTTGAGGGTTGGACTTTGACCGGTGCGCGGAACCTGCGATCTCCTGTTGGCGGGAGCGCATACGGAATACCCTTGAAGGCTTCGACTGGCCGGGGGAGACTATCTGACACGACTGTGCCGATGACGGTTCCCTGGGTGAGTTTCACTGAGGGACGGGCATCTTGGATTGTTGAACCCATTGTGAATGTCTCTTGGAGTTTTGACTCTGTCTTGACGGTGTGTAGAGACAAGTGATTGAGTTGAGTTTAGTTGAAGTGTCTCAAGCCGCAGTTCACAACTCACAACCGGGGTGCATCCCCCGAAGCTCTTATCGATAATCGGCGGTTGCTCGTACCGGCTTCCCGATGAGTTGCAGTTGACTTTAACACACCCTCTTTCTCGGACAAGGTCCGGATAGTGAATGACCTGACTAGTAATACTCCGTAGTTATCGAATGGTGCTTGGCGCCGTGGCGGGAAAGGCTTGATTAGGCGTTAAATGATTGTGAGAACGACTCAAAGAGGCTATTGATACCGGGGCTTTCCCGCGGGGACGAAACGGCCGATTTCGGCGAGACGTGCTTTCGGGCACAGATCTGGGCGCCGGACTCCCCCTTTCGACTTTCGACAAGTTGAATAGAGTCAACAAATGTCCCCCGTTCCCGGCTTATCAGCCCCCGTCCGACTTGTGCTATCGGACGGGCCCCGACTCATGGGACCCCCCCGGCACGACTTCCCCGCGATAGCCAACTGCCATTGTTTCCTAGTGTACCCAGCTGAATTCCTAGTCTTGCGGATAACGTCGCCCGTGAAATGTGGTTCTATATGGATCTGGGTTCAGATAAGACGTCCCATTGACGGACTCCTGGGCCTCCGCGTTATCATACCTATCTACCTAGTTGTTTACCCCGGACTGGGTAGCGTGGCGTGGTCAGGGTTGTCGAGATAATGACCAATTGGCAATGAGACATTAAAGGAGTTATCCCTCTCGTCAGAGAGACGGGAAACCCTTGGAAAAGTAGTAGGGAGGCTTCATCTTTGAATCTCCTTCTTCTCAGGATCACCACTCTCACCTTGTTTAAGTCTTTGTTCTCGAAGTTCCCCGCCTACATCGACAACAATGACCGAGAAAGTGTCCAAAGACATCAAGGTCGCCGAGGATGGCCTCGAGCCGACAAAGTCCTTCACGACGGGCGAGGTCGCGCACCTCGACGAGTCCGAGGCCTTTCTCCAGGAGAATAATATCACAGAAGAGTATCTCGCCGAGCTCGTCAACGACAAGGAGAAGAACCGTCGCCTGGTCCGCAAGATTGACCTCATAATTCTCCCTCTCCTGGCCGGCACCTACGTCTTGCAGTACATTGACAAGCAGGCGCTGTCCTACGCCGCCGTCTTTGATCTCTTTTCCAGCACGAGTGTCACGCAGACTGAGTACTCGTGGTTCGCGAGTATCTTTTACCTGGCCTACCTGGTTGCCGAGTACCCGTGGGTCTATATTGCGCAGAAGACGCGCATGGGCAAGGTCGTGGCGGGGTGTGTGCTGTCGTGGGGTTCCGTCTTGATGATCACGGCTGCGTGCTCCAACTTCCCGGGACTTGCTGCGTGCCGTTTCCTCCTTGGAGTCTTTGAGGCCCCTATCACAACGTGCTTCATGATGATGGTTTCCATGTGGTAAGTCTCGACATCTGGCCCCCTAGGTATGTCGACATTGTCCTAACGCGTGCATTCAGGTACGTGCGATCGGAACAGCCCATGCGAGCAGGACTCTTCTACTGCTGCAACGGTGTCGGCAGCATGCTCGGCGGCGTTCTTAGCTACGGCATCGGCCAAATCGACTCTTTCCCCGTCTGGAAGGCCGTCTTCCTCATCTGCGGCGGCATCACCGTTGTATGGGGCGGCCTGCTCCTCGTCTTCCTCCCAGACAGCATCCTGAGCGCCAAGAGATTCTCCCTCGAGGAGCGAGCCCTCCTCGTCGGCCGCGCGCGTCTCGCAAAGACGGGCGTCCTTAACAAGACCATCAAGTGGTACCAAGTCAAGGAGGCCTGCCTCGACCCCCAGGTCTGGCTGCTGACGCTCTTCGTCCTGCTCAACGAGGTCATCAACGGCGGCGTGGCCAACTTTGGCAAGCTCATCATCAAGGGGCTCGTCACTGACCCGCTGTTGACCACGGCGCTGGGAATCCCGCAGGGCGCCTTCCAGGTCTTTTGGATTCTCACGGGTGCCTACACCGCATCCAAGTTCCGTAACCAGCGCACGACCGTCATGGCGGTGTGGCTCATCCCCACCATTATCGGCTGCTGCATGATCTGGAAGCTGGATAGAACGCACTACAAGGTCGGCGTCCTGTTTGGCTACTATATGATTGGCTGCTACGTCGCCTCCCTGGTCCTGGCCCTGCAGATGCCGGCAACGAACCTCGGAGGATACACCAAGCGTATCACGGCGTCGGCCATTGTCTTCACGGCGTACTGCGTGGGTAACATTATTGGGCCTCATGCGTTTTTGGCCAAGGAGGCGCCGTTGTACGCGACTGGGTGCAAGCTTATCCTCGCGTGCTCGGCTTCGCAGGTGGCTATCGCTGTTGGGTTGCGGATGCTGCTCATTCGCCGCAACAAGCAGAGAGATGCTGCTGCGGCGGCTGCTGGTATCTCGCCTGATGCTGAGCACGATGATGAGGGAGTTGACTTGACTGACAAGGAGGTGAGTTTCCCGAGCTTCTGTGACCCTCAAGAGACTTTGATAACTAACGTGTGGACAGAATCCCAACTTCCGTTATGTATTATAAGATGTTTTAGAGCGGGACCTGTTTTGAAGATGACTATAGACAAGAATCTGTTTAGAGCGACAATTATGAGACCATGTTGATTCTGAGAATCGAAACTGAACTGTGAAGCGTAGTAGAACGTAGCCCGAGATTGCCCACATAAAGCCGGAGATGCGGCTGGGCAGCCGGCCGGGTGGCTGTATCCCCAGGCTGTCTGTCACTGTGGGTATCAGACACGGAAAACCCTCTAGGTAGATCGGAGCATCTATAGCTTTGTCATCCTCGATAGCTCGTCCCCTACTTATTTCGTCAGTGGAACCTGGACATTGTGACTCAATCATAGATCCTTAGGACGGGCGTCCGCTAAGTCGCAGCTATCGGATACAATACTAAGTCAGTCGTCTCTCTCAAGGCCACAATGCACAGTCTCGGAGGGATTCGCAGCGGAAAACTTGGAGATGGAATCATATTCGTATTGACAGTCTGGCAGCTGCGCCTAGACATGTGAGACCCGTATCTGTACCATGACGAACACCTTAACGGCCACGGCTTTTTCAAGGCCTGCATCAATCTGCGGCACGGAGGCTATCATAGTAGCCCCAGAATCCTCGACCATGGGAGACCATCAAGGGTGGCACGAGAATCCTTCGCTAGCCGGGGCGTGGGAGAGGAGCAAAGATATTGCATCGGGAGCGAAGGGGGTGAGGGCGAGTGGTCACTGGGGACTTTTGTGGTAGTTTGTCTTGATCTCGAACGCGGAAAATCTCATTTTGTTGGGTAGTCGTGAACCATTCCTATGCCATTTTCCTCTCCGCAGAGAGCCGGACGCCTCGAATTGGCGATATACCATGCAACCAACTCTAGATCCATGATGTCGACCGACCAGACCGAACGACTAGACCCTTTTGACAAGTCAGCCCAACCGTCCGACTGTTGTAAACAGCCCTTTTGCGAGCCGTACAATAAAACTCCCGACGTACCATCCTTCCCCCCCGAGGTCGCATCCTTTCAGCATTTAACGCTGGCCGGACCAGACAGCCTTGACGAGGCCATCGCGCTGGGCCAGACGGTTGAAGGCATCGTCGCTCTCGCCCATCGCACGAACGAAACCGGAGAGGGCGTAGACGTGGTTCTCGCCGGGGACGGCGCGGCCGTTCTCGTCAACCTTGGCGACGGAGATCTGGACGGAGGCGTGGTCCTTGGCCTTGATGATGCGGTTGGTGGCGCTGCACTTGCGCGGAACGTAGCTATTCGACGAGGAAAAAACAAGAGGTTAGCATGGGACTCTCGATATCGAATTCTTGGTGTAGTCGCGCTTTTCCCGCGAAAGCTTCCTCCTCTCGATTTCGTCTCGCGCGGGCATTTCGTGGGATGGTTCGGTATGGGGAGGGGGATTTCTCACAGATCGACGATCTCGCCCTTGTCGTTCTCCATTGCTGCGGCTTGCGTTCGGGGTTGACTAGAAGCAAGTAGGTGGTGGTTTGCGTGGATGTTGTCGTTCGCGGGGTCGAGATGCGGGAGAGCTGTGGTAGACTGACTGCCTTCTTTTTTCGAAATTTCGTGTGGGCGGGCCGAAGCGGCAGGAAAGGGTTGAGATCACGTGGATCTAGCGACGTCTGCTTACCTCATACTGAAGATAAGATAAGAAACTTGTCACCGCCAAAATGGAAAGAACGGTCTGTGCTTCGATGACCAGGGTGCTCCTTCTGACCCCTGCTGCAGATACCTTACGGTACGTACCCACAACCGTCTAGGCCTGGAACTCGGGCCCCTCCACTCCACGCTTCCTACTGCTGCTGCTGCGTGTTGGCGGGTGCTTTGTTGATGTTCAAAGTCGACGGCGTGAATTCCATCTAAACTGCCACCGCCACTCGAATACGCCCCTCTCTCCCTCCACCGGTCCGTCTGACTTCGCAAGGGAACAACTGATGCCTCCGTCATCTGTATAACACAAGCGATTGTTTTCTCTCGCCGGCACACCCACGAACCGTTCAATCTGCTGCGAGTCGCATCAAAACCATGCGCTTTGCGCATCACGACGGGTTCGCCGAGATTCACGATGGGGTCGCCGTTTCGAAGCACCCGTCATGACGCCTATAAACTCTCCTCTTCACCGATCTTGCCATCCCTTGACCAGATCAAGTCACAATTCCCCAAGCAGCCACCCATACGAAGCCCCATAGCTGCCAATTCCACACCAACACATGCGAGCCATCACTTCGCCAATCCTTCGAGCTTCCTTCGCCGGGAAAAACCTGCGATTGACTTGACGACGCCATGTAGAGATGAACCTGCGCCACATCGACCACAAGAAGAGGAGGAGGTCACAGTGATATCCATTGCGAACGTACCCAGACCGAAACGCAAGAGGGGCGTCAAAGTTCTTGAGAAAAAGGCGTTCCAACCGCCTTCACCCTCCAAACCGATCAAAGATGCGTCTGCCAGTCCACCAGGGAAGAAGTATGCGAACCCCAAGAAACCAGCTGCAAAGTCTGAGAAAAAACCCAAGACTGCAAAGCCCAAGGCAGCAACAAAGAAGAGTGGTGTTCAGAGTCGCCACTTTGCGAAGCCCAAGTCTGAAGGCAAAGAGGATTCACCTTTACCACCACCAGAAACAGAGCAGGATGCCAATGAGCCATTGGAGCTCGAGGCGGCATTAAGACGTCGTGTGGACTGGACACCGCCGCCAGCCGACAATGGCATGACTTCAGGATCGAAATCTTCCCAGGCCATCGACCTCCTATCCTCGACTGTGAAAAGCCCAGGGCGTGCCGCGTCGAAGGAAACGTTCGACAATCTTTTCGAAAAGTTTGGTCGGCCGGACGAGGAATTGAAGAGACCCTCGGCTGAGCCGTCCGATGGCGACAGACCGGTGTTGAAGAAGAGGAAGTTGATCGAGACAGTGCCCATCAACGAATCGTCAAAAATGGGGCCACCTCAGAAGGGGCCCTTGAAAGTAAAAGCACCGAGGAAGAAGCCACGTACAATCACCGAACTGGCCACGGCAGCCTATGCGGTTCCAGATGCTACAGAACAGGAGCAGCCGTCTGCGGCTCCAGTCGAGAGTGTCGAGGACGGAGAAGAGACTGCCAAACCTAAAGGAAAGAAGAGAACATCCAAAGCAAAGAAACCAAAAAAGGCTCCTCCACCTGAACCCATTCTGTTGTCACCAACTGCAGCCCTCAGACAAGCTGCGAAGCAAGATTACGTTTTCGGGACTTCGAGCCAGCTGGCACGTGAACACTCGCCTACTTTCCTCAAGGATCTCCAGTCTGCGCTGCAGGCATCAAATTCAAAGAGAGAAGATCATTTCGTGACTCCGATCAACAGCGACGAAGTTGAACCAGAACCCAAGCAAAAGCTTTGGGACGTAGGCGCGAGAGATGAGGATGGCAGGCTGCTGGATTTGGAAGTCATCAATCTTGCCGACACTCCACAAACAGCACTGCACGTTGCAGATGGCCTCAATCCTTTTGGTTATGCTGGAATCGATCAAACAATGGCGGCCCCGCCACCTCATATGCCGTCAGATGTCTCTTTCCCGGATATCGAAGACCTCCTGGCAAGAGACATGGCAATCGACTTGCCGCCACATCCTATTGTTTCTACACAAGAGAAAGTAAATGCGCCATTACCGGCTCACATGTTGTCGGACATGTCCTTTCCAGATATTGACGATCTTCTGGGAAAAGAGACCGATCAGAATGGCAAGCCTCAGACTCAGAAACAAGCATTACCCTCTTCGCCGCCTCCTAGGTCAGTCGAAATCACATCTCAGTCTGTGGAAGTGCTGTTGGTCTCTTCTGGTTCTGGACCAAACCATGTGGAAAAAGCTAGCACTCTGCCACCACTGGAGTCACCGCCAGTACAAGCCTCTGAAGCGTCCAAGCCTGTAGCGACGGAGGATACGGCCCCAGAGATAGCGAAACCAGACTTTAGTCTCTACACTGACAACCAACTTGCGCGAGAGATTTCGTCATACGGATTCAAACCAGTCAAGCGAAGGCAAGCCATGCTTGCACTTCTAGACCAGTGCTGGGTGGGCAAGCAAAGGACTGCCCTTTCATCGCTTCCCACGAACCGCCCCATCACGACCACGTCCCAGGCGCAAGCTGCTGCCAAGTCACAGAAACCAGCAACCGCCGTTTCTCCCAAGAGGCCGCGTGGTCGTCCGCGGAAGACCAGCCTAGTTGAAGCTGAAGCTGAAGTTGAAATGCCTTCCAGTGAGCCGCCACCGTCCGCTCAGCCGCCACCACCTTCTCCCAAACGAGGCCGTGGTCGACCGAGGAAGAATGCCGAGTCGACGACAGCTACTCCCTCGACGGCCAGTAAGAAGGGCAAGTCGAAAGCAACGTCTGGCGCATCAAAAGAGCCGAAAACATCTAGGAAGGCGGCTTCGGCAGTGGCATCACCGCCTCGGAAGAAAACGAAAGTGACAAAGGTCATCGAGATCCCAGATTCGGAATCAGAAGGGCCGCTTTCCTTGTCACCATCGCCATGCTCTTCACCTGAGCCGACTTTCTCACCAGCCCCCGAGGAAGCTTCAGTGTCAATTGGCGACGATACAGAAATGTCACTCGCAGCGTCCCAAAGCCAGCGATCGGAAGTCTTGTTCGCGCGTATCACTGAAGCTGTGACCTCGTCGCCTCCAACGACAGACCCCAAGAACCCGTCCTTCCACGAGATGATGCTAATGTATGATCCGATTGTGCTTGAAGATCTTGCTGGTTGGCTCAACACCGGACAGCTATCCCGGGTCGGGTATGACGGTGAAGTCTCGCCAACGGAAGTGAAGCAGTGGTGTGAGTCAAAGAGCGTTTGCTGTCTGTGGCGCGAGAGCTTGCGAGGAAAGGAGCGGAAGCGGTACTGATTCGGCGCCTATGTTATGCATTTACGATACCCATTGAATAGTCTTGCATTGGTTAGACACGGTCGTCACAATAAGCTTCCTGGTGTTGATTGAGATGATCCCCTGTCGCCGTCTCGTCAACAACCTTCATAGCACATGATTATTCTTCATTCAAGATAAATTCGATTGAGAGACGTTGATGTTCGAAATGATATTCCCCGAATAAGATGACATGTGCGGTTAGGCCGCACTGTCTGGCGTTGTAAGTGTTGATGAGAGTTAGCAGCAGGGCGCGGTCACAGGGCGCACACCGAACCTCGGCAAAAACGTCAACCCCCGCCGGGTCGGTGATCTTTGTCCCAGACACCTCATGACCTTCGACTCGAGCTGATCGACTGTCACCACCAGGTTCCCAATGCCTTCGTTATCACCATTATCCCATCCAGGTAGACTCTCTTCATTAAGAAACTCATTGAAACAGTCAATTCGATACCCAAGCTTCTCATTGCACTCATTTTCACGTTCGATTGCGACGCGCAGTTCGAGCAGGGATCTCCAGCCAAACACGTCACTCATAGCAACGCCTGTTTCACGCACCGTCCGACAACAAGCGGGCGCATCAAATATCATCATCATGTCACAGCAACGTTCATCTTCTTCATCGCCGCCTAAGCGCGAAAGAGAGGTTATGGAGCCTCGGCCCAGTGCGAGGTGAGTTCCGCTCATAATTAGACATGCAGGCTCGGCGTCAGCTCACACAGCCCGGCCCATAGCATCTTGCTCCTCTCACCGACAAACCAAGTCCTTCTGCTGCACCGGGTGAAGACGTCCACATCCTTCGCATCGGCACATGTATTCCCCGGCGGGAATCTCGATCCATTTCACGATGGAGAGATCCCGCCAAGTGATGCCCGTGAAAGGCATGAGGACGGCCACGCGTATCGGCTAGGTGCCATCCGTGAGTGCTTTGAGGAGACAGGCATCCTCCTCGCCACTCGGAAGGGCTCTGATGACAAGTCTACTCTCGTCAACGTTCCCACGGCGGAAAGAGAGAAGGCTCGCAAGCAGATTCATAGCGGCAAGTTGCGCTTTAGCGAATGGGTCGACAGCGTGGGCGGCGTCCCCGACGTTGGTAAGTAACGAACCATTTACGTCAAGCGCTTTCATCGCAAGACGACGCAAAAGATTCAGTATCACTCACGCTTCCAAACAGGACGCCTCATTCCCTTCACCAGATGGGTAACGCCCACCAACGTGCCCAAACGCTTCACAACGCAAATGTACATTTACATGCTCCCGCACTCGGCCTCAACCGGCGCCGACGCCGCCGAGAACGAAATCATCGTGCCGACCCCGGACGGCGGCGTAGAGCACACGGCTGCCAAGTTCGACGACGCGTGGACCTGGCTCTACCGCGCCGACAAGGGCGAGATCATCCTCTTCCCGCCGCAGTATTACCTCCTGTACCTGGTCTCAAAGTTCTGCAAGGCGGCGGCACCGTCCCCGGCGCCCGGCAAGGGCCATGGCGACGCGTACTTTGCGTCGCAGAGGCGGGGCCTGCTGGATTTCCTTCACAGAGCGCCTACCGCCGTTACCGAAGCAGGTTGGAAGCAGCCTTCGTCTGAGATTCCGTGGGCGCACAAGGTGATGAGCCCGCATAACTTGTTCATTCGCGAGGGGGATAATCGTATCGTGCTCGGGCTTGATAAGCCTGGTCCCGAGCTCAAGGGGTCGGGCCGCGGAGGCGATTGGGAGAGGGTTGTGTTGGTCAAGTTTACGAGGGACGGTCCGCGCAAGGTCGAGGTGAGGGGTCGCGAGGAGGTGTTGAGGGAGGAGAAGGAGGCGAAGAGGGCTAGGGAGGCGGAGGAGGAGAGCGAGGGGAGACATAAGCTTTGAAGCTGTGGTCGTCGTCGTCGTCGTCGTCGTCAACGGTCGATGATCGTAGAGCCTAGAGGTACTGGTTAGTTGCTGAATGAGAAGCTGTTCCCTAACCTGGCTTCAGGATCGTGTGATTATGGTCTGACGCTGAACATGTCAGAAGAGAGAGACAACAACTCGTGGTGTTGCACCCGCATAGTCATCTCACTCTTCACCCAGGACTCTGGTCAGCGGTTTTTTTTTGTGGCATTCTACCACCACACACCACCGTTCAAAACCTTAAAAAAATGCTTTCAACGATGAGAAGAATGAGATCTGATGTATCCCAAATGGTCGACAGCAAAAGGGCATTAGTTATTGTGCAGAAAATAAGGCATCCAGGGACACCCGTTGCAGGAGTTCTCGAGTCAGGGCAGCGGTCACACCCTCCCCCTCCTCTGCCCTGCCAGGCGAACCACCTCTGCATAGCAAAATTAGTCTGAGAGAGAGTCGAAGGCGCCTGGATCTGGGGGATGCGATCCTCCCCGAGAACTCCTCGGCCCAAAGGGTGAGCCTCCTAGCAGAGCCTCACCCTCAAAGAGGTGGTTTGCTCCGAGCTCAAGGACACGCAACCCCACATACAGCAGTGCAGGCATCCTAGGAGCGTTGGAACCAAGGTGAACGCAGAATGATCCTGGTCTCCTAGCCTCTGGGGCCGCAGTGAATGCGGCCTTCATCCTGGCCATCCATCCTTCTTCTTCCCCCCTTATACCTATCAAGAAGGAGCCGGTATTACACCACCCTCCCCAACTTGGCCTGTTGATCGATCATTGGCTCAAGATACTATGATCTGATAGCATAACTCCGCTTAAGCCGTGCTTGTGAACAAGCTCGAGGTAAGCTCAAACCTAGTTTACTGGTGTCTCGCACAGAGATCTGCCAGTCGTGGGGAAGGTAGGACATGTGTTTCCCATGATGCTCATTCTTGGTTCATGTTCTCTCACACATCGAACCGATGTCAAGCCCGTCAGCAATGCTCCCCCACGCGATATACGCAATGTTTATGCGTAAACATCCTTCACCTTCGACGACTGGTCTCGTACCCGAACATGAGGCTCTGACCTCGGAGACCGCGAGAGTCTGTCACCGCTTAAACTTGCATCGCGCACGCGCTGGCGCTGGCGCCCTCCACTTCATCCTTGATCCTCGTCCGTCTATCGTCACTTCGTGGTCGCCAAAGAAACGCCATACGGCCATTATCTTGTGGCTTTCTTCCCCCTCCTCTTCATACGTGGCATCGGGAACGACTATCTCCCCGGATGGCTTCGGTCTCGTGGACGCAGATCATACCATCATGACGTTGAGTCCTGCCGTTTTCTTTGATGATTTGATCACAGTTCCGTTCGGCTGTTAATTCGAGACGGTAAGCCAAGCAGACATTCTCCCCAGAAGCAGCGCCGACCCTAGTTTGCGCCCAATCGTATATCATGGATCGCATATTGGGTCTTTGGCCAGCTGTTCGTCCCGCATTGTCACACCGGTTCTCTCGATCGAATCTAGGCCTTTGGAATCAAACATCTAAAACCAGTCTTTCAACCGGAGCCATTGGTCTTTTCGTGTATTCTGCTGTCTTTGGCATCTGAAGTAACCATATCCCTGCACAAGGTAGGTGAGGTAACTGTCACTCTTCATCGCAGATCATCGGCTCGCCGATGTCGAGTTCGCACTTGCCGAGCCAACACCAAGTTCACCTACTTTACTTACCTCACCCACCTCCGCAAGCTGCACTGCATGGTAACACGTTCCTTCGAACAGCCTGTCCGAGGGAAACTCGTGTCGTACAGAGTTGACCTTATAGGGATAATACTCAGCAACGGGTAGTGGCTCGCAGGCTGGTACCACATCGTACCAGGCGCCCTGTATGTGCCCTTGAAAATTGATGGGAAAGAAAACCATGGCAGGAAAAGTAAAAGCACATAATTATCCTGGAGAACCCCTCTTTCTTGCATGGATCTGACTTCTTGATTGGAAGGTTCGGAATCGTTGTTGGTGCGGCTGCAGGAAGCATGCATGTCGGCCATAGAAGCAACAGCGGATCTATGCTGGATTAGTATATCCTGCCGGGGCATGGCATTTGGTCAAGATGAGGAAGAGGGAGAGAGAGAAAGAGAGTGCAGATGGAGGGGGACCAGGGATTTTAGCGCTAAACTGCTGTGCAAGGAAGGTCGAAGGGCTGATACTATGGTGTCGTTGCAAGGATAGTCAGTCACCTTTCCCGTCTTCCCTTACCCGAGTTCCGTTGTTCTCATGTTCCCATGAGCCGATCGATTACCCGTGGCACCTACGCCTATCGCAGCTTCATCCGAAGGGTGGGAGAGGGCTGGTAAGATGTATCGATGAGCCAATCAGGACTCCGGCACCGAGAGAAGGATTCGACTCTTCGAGGTATAGAGGGACAGTCTTCAAGCTACGACATATGGGCAGAGCCGCAAAGCTCACAGGATCTCGAGCGGTGTGGTTGGACAATCTTATGGATCCATCCCTCTCCCGTACGGACCGTCTGGCGGTTTGCGGCGGGTGGAACGGCATGTGGAGGAGGTCGCTTGCGGGCTTGAGGGTCTCAGGTGCGGCCGCGGGAGGGGGTGAACTAGCATCTATACCCTCCGAGAGTGGAACGTAACGCGTGCTTTGTGGAGGGAGCAGATGACCGGGTCCATAGATTAGGAATTGGCTCGTAAGCTATGCCATGCTGCCTGATGAACTGCATGAAAATGAGTATCAAATCAGATCCAAAAGAGACAAGAGTGACCCATCTGTCTTGGAGATGCTGCTCGGAAAGTGAAGTTATAAATACCGGAGATGTCTCCCATCTCGACAGGCATAGTTTCACTGCAAACCATACCAAACTACCCGAAGCTGGGCTTCTTGAAACGTACAAACTTCCAATCTCATTCAAAATACTTCGCAAGTTCCGTGGCCGAGCCACCACCCAAGTCTGATACCAACTCTTGATTCACCCTTCTTTCATCATGCCTGAGTATGCTCCTCCATGATATATTGAGACGACTTGACACGCTTTGAGAGAATACCAACTAAACTAATGATAGGGGATCTGAACAAACCCCGCTTGGTGACTACATCAACACCACCAGCGTGACTGAGTACATTGCCATGGGAGGTGCGAAAAAGTGAGCACGACAGGTTGGAGGTTCCGTGGCGAGCTCCCAGCATGGACCTAACTGAGATCAGGAAGTAGGGAAACAATGTGGAATTTTCTGATACCCTCTTGTTTTGGAGTTGGAACATGTCACCCTATTCTGTCTGCCCTTGAGATTGAGATCTGCTAGTCATGAGCAAGGGACTATGATGTATCGAAGAGATGACCGCGGAGCGGATGATATCGCTCAGTAATCCAGCAATAGTAATTACTATTTTTTGCATCGAATTCATGACTCAAGGCCCAAGCACACATGCTCAGTGATGCCAACTCGGAGTATGATGAATTATCCGTCGACTTTAGTCGTTCATTACCACATGCATGGCTTCTGTTGCACCATCTCATGCAATTTTCAGGTGTCCAAGGAGGTTGCATACGTGTCTCTGAGAGTAGGGTCCTTGACATGCGTTAGACTCAAAGTGAGGACGGAGGGAGCAAGTGGATAAGACTCGGACGAGGTAGCTGACATGGAGGTCAGAAGAAGGAGGAGTACTGGATGATACCCTAGAAAGCAGTGAAAAAAGGCGAGAGCCTGATAATACTGTGTAGTCGTGAAAGACATTAGCCGAAGAGCATCTGCACCCGAGCCGTCTACCGCCCGTCCTCGTGCCGGCTCATGGCGCCTATCATGTACTAGGCGGGACGAAGGGGGTGGGGGAAGCTGCAGAATAGCCAACCGCCGCAGGGATGATGGTAGAGTGATGGGAACATGGAGCGGCGCGCCAACTCATGGAGACAGTAGCAGAGCCTCAAGGACCGGGGTCTGGGACGTTGTGGTTGGCTACGTACCCCCGTGTAGCTGGCGGTTGGAGGCGGCAGAACGGGGCCGGTCGTGCTCGGCGGTTTGGGCTTGTTCCGGCCGCAGAAGAGTGGAGTTGAGCGACGGGAGGAGGTTGTGTTTCAGTGGGGTTGTATCACACACGATGCTTGAAGATGACCAGCTGATCAGCGATTAGGAATTAGTTCGTAAGCCATCTTGTAGATCAAATGAGAGACCAGAAGCTTTGGAGAGAACTTGAGAGACCTTGGTCTTTCGGGGCGGAAGATGCAAATTCTAGCAATTATAAATACCCGCCAAAGTCCCACGAGGGAGCGGATAGTACTAGAGAGAAGAGCAAAGAAAAATACGATCCGAGACCAGTACCCAAGCCATAATCTACTACTTGAGTGACATACTTTTGAACAAAGGTCAAACTGCTGGCCACACATCATCAAGATCTGAACATTACCCTCCACACTACAGAGGAGTCTGTTAGAGACTCGAGAGTCAAAATGCCCAGCTCGCAAGTTCATCTTCAAAGATATACTTACTGCTAAGTGGCTTACATGAAACAAAGCACACCTGCACCCCCCAAGCCTTCACCAGCTCCTCAGTTGGATATCTTCATTCAGAACACTGATTCAGTCCAAGACCGACTGTATGCGGCTTCAGCGGCGGCATCAAAGGGGAAGGGAGGCAAGAAGAATTAGCTATCATAGGCGTTAGATGCAGAGAGTATCGAGGCAAGGAGATTCATTACGGGCGAAATGTAGGATAAGGAAGAAGATTCATTGACGTTTGCTTTGTCGTAGTGTTACTCGGCGAAATCCAATGGTAGTATTTTGTACACTTGAACCCTAGAAAGAAAAGGGATCTCGGTAGACATGATCTTTGCGCCGCTGTAATAAGCAACTGACATTCTGAAAGCCATTCCTCAATTTTAATAGACCTGCTTGCCGCCAGTATTTGTGGTATGGCCTCGTCTCCTTCACCCCTACCAATATGCTTCTCATTAGGCCTCCGGCTTACTCTCACCTAACTACCTAGGCAAGAGAAATGACGAGGAAACCTGGGTCTTGCTTGTTGATCTCATTGGTTTCGATACGATGGAAAGGGGCCTTCATTCGTTATCTAAGCCAGGAAACCAGCGGTGCCCGCGATTCCGAGTTCCTTCATCTTCTGCTCGAGGGCCCCATGAAGCTCCGCCTGGGCTGCCTTCTGCGCCTCCTAAAAGTCCTTGGCGTCGTCCAAACCCATCTCGGTGTCACTGTCTTCATCCACGTGCGCTCCATCCCAGTCGGCCTTCTCACGTCGGATGATCTTGCCCATCATCTTCTTGCGCTGCTCATCGGTGAAGTCGGCAAAGATCTCCTCGGGCTCGTCGCAGGGCTTCTCGTTGCGGAACCTGTCGATGGCGAGAGCAGTCGTAGTCTCGTCCTCGTACTTCTCGATCGGGTGTTGTTGGTAGCGGGAGAACTTGACGGCGATTCTTCGACCCTCGTAAAGGGCCGTCAGGACCTTGGCAGCGACGGTGGGCTTCATCTCTTTCTTGGCGGCAATGATCCAATCCGTTTCCTTGGCGGCAAGAAGAAGGAGACCCGAGATGGTCTCGGTAATGTGGGCTTTGTGAGATGAAAGTCTGTCGGCGTTCATGAAGACCTGGGCAATGGCTTTGTCGATGGCCTTCTTCTCCAAATTGGGGGAGACGGCGCGAAGAGCAGTCTTGAAGGCCATGCCCTCGTTCACATCCTCGAGGATCTTGAGCTCCTCTCCGGCTGCGTTCTGGTACATCTGGAAGCCTGGGCCGGAAGGAAGCACCTTCTTCAAGGTCTTGGGCTTGGGCTTGTTTTTCTGCTTGTTCTCCTGGTCGCCTGAGCTATCAACAGCTGGCTGAATGATGGGCAACTGCGACTGAGACATCGTGAAGCTTTGTGTGAAGTTAGAGATATGATAGTTAGAAGAGATGGAATCACTCAACTTACATTGTCAAGAGACGAGAGAACGTGATTGTGTCAGATGAGAATTCGGACGAGATCCAGAGATGGGATAAAGTGCAGAAGTGGATGACAAGTCGTGATGATGAGTGTGGATAAAAAGGGCATCGAAGAAAGGTCTGCTGTGGTTGTAGTAGTGAAAATTTGAGATAGTAAGGTTGGGTAGGTTGAGAATCATGAAAGACAGCCGCCCTCGGTGAAGGTCGGTGAGAGTGAAGTATCACCATAGAGTGCAGGTGCGCGTCAACAAACCACCTCGCGTCTCACCGCCCGCCACGCGCTAGCAGAGAGAGAAAGATGTGATTCACTTCACCTTTTTGACCCACCCCTTTCACCCTCGCTCCTTCCCTTCACCTCCTGACGCCCGCGTGACCTACTTCATTATGAAAAGGTCCTCGTTCTTCCATCAGGGCGGCCAGGTGGCTGAGAGGTGAATCTCTTGGCTATCTATCTAACAGAAATCGATACTCCCCAGTTCGATTCTCGGTCGTCGCGCAAAAACTACCGAAACCACTGGACGTATTTAAGACAGAGTGACATTTGACCAAAGTGCGACCTTTGGCAGTGGTTTCTTGTGCCCAAAGCCTCAGATGCTGCGGGCGTTTGAGATCCGGTTTCGGTACTAAGTGCCTGATAAATATGTGGAAACACCCTCTGGTCAATTGACCATCAATCTTTTTTTGTAATTCTCATTGGAACTATGTTGTGTTGTTTCCTCTGCCATCATTGTTATGGTCGAACGTCGGTTATGTTAATTAATAGCACTATACAGAGAAGGGCGACTAGTGTGACATGGTCAAATAGATTGTCACTATAACGGCTTGAGCTATAGTAAGTAATGAGATAACGTAGATCAAGACAATGAAGCTTGACTTCGTGTGAGATCTAGCTTAACCGCCGCCACCACCACATCCACCACCACCACCGCCGCATCCTCCACCCGAACCCATGCCCACTATTCCCGCTCCAGGAGCGCAGCCTGTCGATTGAGAGACGTCAGAGCTTGTAATGAAGAAGGCGACGAGAATGAAGAAATACTTACCGCCGAGTTGGCGACTTGCTCCAGACCAGTACCCCTGAGATCAGACCACCATATTAGACACTCAACTTGAGAGATGCATGAAGATAAACGACTTACAGCCATATTGGTACAACCACCAGGGCCGCCACATCCCCCAGCAGCGATATCGTTCGAGCCGCATAGTCCCTGAGCGCAGTCGGCCCAAGACCCATGAAGGACACCAGGGTTCCCAGCAGGATAGACCCCTCCAATGAGGTACGCGGGATAGTTGTAGGGACTATCTCTATGGTGCGTCTTGCCCCAGTTGTTGTAGAACTCCTCTTTCGGTGGCAGCGTCCTTCCTCGCTTTGCTGCGCGCTTCTTTGCTCGCTCGTAGGCGTCGTCGAGACGCATCCTCCAAGCTGCGCGGAGCTGGCGATGCGCTATGTTGTGAGTAGCGGATCCGTCTGTGCGAACGGAGTTGTGGGCAGAGATGTGGACCGAGTTGGATGGGGTGCAGACCTGCGAGGCTGTTGCTTTGTCGAAACTGTCGATGGCTGGAGGTAGGGGTGTCAGTATCTTGGACCTTGCGCAGGGGTGCTGTTCATTGAAATACCTTTTTGTGGCTTGCTTTTGCCAAAGACGGAGGAGCTGTCGATTGTGATCTTTGCGCGTACAGCTGTTCAGCATCGTTAGCAAGAGTTCTTGATTATGAAACGGGATGGATCAAGCCACTCTGAGGAGCATTGAACAGACCTTCGCAGTACCAGCATGTGCATTCCGAGTAGACCTCGTTGAACTTCTCCAAGTAAGTCTTGCTAGTCAACTCGAACGAGTTGGACAGCTGGTCTTCGTCGATCTTGTCATTATGGTCAATGAACTTGGCCTCCTTGCTGGTACTCATGGCGGTGTTGTATGTTGAAAACTTGTAGTACGCTCTCGGGGCCAACTGGTGAGTATGCCAGGCAAGGTCCACATCCAGCGTAGGTACCGTAAAAGACATGGGATACTCGGTCATGATGAGCATGAAGCGTTGGTACTTCTGAAGAAGCCGATCCATGGTACCTCTCGCACTGGGGCTGTGTAGCCAGTCGATCTGCAAAGAACTCTTGTTAGCACTCTCAGGGGCTGGGAGGATCAGTCAGGATACTGACGTTGAACATCTTGCCAATAAACACCCCCTGTCGCATCGTCGCTCCAACAAGGTCGAGCGCGAAGATGGACGCATTTTCCCAGTACCTCGACATCATCTTGCGGCTCTGGAAGCGTTCCGTTCGTGTGATTACTCTCCCGCCTGACCCGTCTCTCTTGTCATAAGGGGCTGGTCTTGTCCCTTGTATTCTCGCAAAGGCGTCGTCATCAGCCAGTGCAGCAGAGACCAGGTCTCGTACATCCTTCATCGTTGGCGTCTTTGCTTGACCGGGACTGATGAGACGTAGCAGCTGCGCGGAAATCCCTTGCCCAATCAGTCTGTTGGGGTACGTGACATCCTTGAGCTTTGCCTCGGTGGCCACAGGCATGCCAACCTTTGGGTCTAGGATGGTGCTCGGGAGAGTTATACCTTCGTTGAGATAGAGCTCCGCGTCATTGATCATCTTGGCAACGCAGAGTAGACGATGCGTGATGACGGTATTGCAGCCTGCTGTGCATAGTTGAGAGAAGTCGCCATCGCCGTACCCTTTTCCGACCAAACCTGGGCGCCTTTGACAAAAAGGTCAGCAAACTCCACGAGGGCGAATGGAATCTCGCCTATCGTTGAACGTACTCTTGACCCTTATAAATCTCTGGTAAGCCACAAGTGCTCCAAGGCACAAGAGTAGTCTGTTTGCATGCAGGACATTCGATTGCCTTCTCCAGTGGTTCGTCGAGGTTGTTCCACGCTCGCCCTGTTGCCTTTTCCCAGTTCGACTTGGCCACATCGGAAACCTCGTAGTTGAACTTGGAGTCAATGACTTGATTGACCTGGGCCCACGGCATTCCCGTCGTCCAGAAATCGCGGAGATTCCAGCGCATAGTGTCCTCCAGAAACGCTCTGGGATTCAGCATGTGCGCATGGAACATTATCAGGACATCTGATCACGGTTAGATGTTTGCCAAACCTTCGGCAGACTCAAATGCACCAATTACCTAGTGGTGGAAGATTATTCACTGTCCAGGGAAAGTCCTCGCCCCCGTCAGGAAAGTTCAAGTACTTGTCGGAACACGTCTCGAAATCCTTCATCTCTGCTTCACGCAAGCGACCTCCCGAGAGCGTCTTCCACCAAGTCTGATACCGATCCGCCGCCCGCGCCAGATAGACCGCCCACCTCTTTTCGCGCAGCGCTGACAGCACTTCCTTCACTCGCTCCTCACCTCCCTTGCTGGAACCTTCATCGCCATCCCTAGGGCCGGCTCGCGAATCCCACAAGTCCCATAGACCATCGCTGTACCCGACATCCTCCTTCAGCGTCTCAATGGCATAAAGAAGCTTCAGGTGCGCGAGGCAGGAGTCCACGTCCGGATCTCTCTGGGTGCCTAGCCGTAGTGAGTTGAAGGCGCTGGTAAGATTGGCGACATCCTGCTCGGTGTGAGGCCTCTTCCCATTGGGCCCGCCGTTTGCTTCGAATGGTGGTGGCTGATCCTCGAAGGGCGGAGGCTCGTCCGGTGCGGTGCCGTAGGCGGGAGGAGGTGTTGCTGGGCGGTCTGCCTTGGCCTTTTCTTCCTCAGCCTCCTTCTCCTTGGCCTTGGAGGACCTCTTGAAAAAGGAGGGCATCGCGAGGCTGGCGGTCTCCCTCTCTTGCTCGGAGGCGATGGAGTGGCGATCAGATCAGGGGTGAGCGTGGGGGAATGCGGGGTAGAACTCGTCGACTTTCTTGCCAGGCTAAATGCTTGATCTTACGTCTACGGTCTGGAGGACCATGCCATTGTATAGTTGGGCTCCTATTATGCAAATTCGAGATGAAGGTAGTAGTTTTGGACTTGAGCAAGCTTTATCTCCTTGGGCTTTTGTGAGACTCCAGGCCACGTCATGCGAGGTTCCCGTCCTCTTTGCCTTATGATCAACCGCCGATTCAGCCCCGAAATCGCTTCATTCCAGGGCGACTAGGCAGACTGGGTAAAACAGACACCAATTGCTGTGCATCGATACGGGCGCATTTTTACAACAGCAGCTAGCGCCGGGCGGCTGGGACGCCCCCAAAGCTTCGAACGGCACGTGGGCGGTTGCACAACGATCTAGTCGGGCGAAGGCGCCCCTCCACAATTGCCTTCATAACCCAATGAGGGCAAGGATTTGCGCCATGTTGGAAAGCTTGAGTTGGACAAGCGAGAACCGGCTGGATGAGATTGGTCGACAATGATCAAGGCTCTCCAGTAAAGACTCAATCCATAGTGGCGGAAAAGGTTTATTTGTCAAATCCTACCCGCCCGTGTTGGCAACGCTTAAGACTAGGGCGACTGCAACGCTTGTGCATATTGTAGATGAGCTTGCCCTATTTGCCCAAGCTTTCTGACCACGCATTCTGTCCTTGGCAACCTATTGCGAAGGCTTGGCCTTGTTAGACAAGAGACAAAAGCAGCTGATTGTGTCAGACCGATGTTCTAGAAGCAAGAGTCTGCGACTTGGCGTTGGTACTCTATCCGTGCTTACATTGACAAGGGTTCGGGAAACAGCACAAATAACAGGGGGTTCCAACGGCTCAAGTATTGGAGCACATTGGGAAGCAGCTTTTCCACATCTGATTGAACATCTGAAGTATTGAATTGTGGTTTCGTGGGCGGAAGAATAATATTCGGGATGATTTCCATACAGTCTCATAGCCTCAGTTATGAGAATCCCTACAGGCGCATTGTCATCATTTGTGTCCAGCCCAGAACCTCAAGAAAGCCTCCGTCTTGTTTTTTGGTGGCGGTAAAGCCTCCGGGTTGCGGTCTTCCTCTTTCAAAAC